TCAGATGTCATCGGTGAAAATCTGGTTGTTAGTTTTGCTGTGTTCGTGATTTTTCAGTTTAAGTTTTAAGTCTAATCAGGGTGCCAATGGCACAGAAGCCCGTTTTCGTCCCGGAGGATGGACTCGCATATAAAAAGGACGGGAATGCTCATCAGAAAATTTGAAAAGAACCCCCTAAGAGATACCGAGAACCTGTTTTGTGGGCGTGGTATGAAATGGTTTTTGCCCCTAAGAGGTACAATTTTTAAAACAACACATTATATTTTGTCATGGTTTTTTCCGGCTCATTACCCTAAAAGGGACCGCAAAGGCTCCCGCTGTGGACTTTTTGAGGCTGAACATTCTAAGGGGTACCCAAACCACTTTTTAGCTCCTGAAAGGTACGACGAACACCCCCTCATTTTTATCTGGGAGTCCTTCCCCGGGTTTTCGTTCATGGGCTAATCAACTTATTCAGACAAAATGAGGAATGGAAGTTTAAAACGCAGTGGTCACTCACTTTTTCTTGTAAAAGAACATCTTTTTTTTTCTAAACGGCACACCTCGCTGAGCCGCAATGGCTGCGATGATAAAAATATTCCAAGAATGATTCTTTAAGACGGCACAAAGAAACCGGATAGATGCTTTTTAAATCACGCTATAACTACTGTACAAGAACGTCGTATTATCTTCGGAAGAGCTCCTGTTTGAAATACCTGGGATGACCATTAATTTTAATACGTCCATTTTGTATAGTAACTTCGGAAATCGTCGAAATTTGCACTCGCCTCAATTCACTTTAATTTGAACTCGTGTCACGCTTTTTGCATTGGTGTTACACTTGAACTGCAGAGCTCTTTACTAGTCATAATCGAGTAATTTTTTCGAGACTACTAGTAAAAAACCAAGAGGCCACCTCATTTTCTCTTGTAAAAAACCTATCCACGTGCCCCCACGTAGCACGTACCATCCCCCCTCCAGCTCCGTCCATCTTTTTTTGCTCTCGCTCCAATTTGCTCGCGGCCAGAATGCGGAAAAAGCTCTTCGTACGGAAACCGTGACTTAGTACCACCCTCGGAGAAATGGATAGTGGCCGCTTAAAAGGGTTTGGCCGCTAAATAGAGGTAAAAACAACAGAGAACCCTCACTGGGACTTTCATTACTGGCCACCTAAAAGGGTTGGCCGTTTAATAGGGGTTCGACTGTAGTTGTATTGTATGTCCCGATGCAAACGTTCGTATGAATGAGTTTTTAACAAACAACTGAAAGCTATCTTTTTACGCAGGTTACGATATTCGATGAACACTGATCAGCACTGAATTTTTTTCAGGCTTTAATTTCACAACTGCTTAAGTTGTGTGTATTACTGCGATGGTCAATCATGTCTTCATATCTTTCTCCGCAGTTCAAATATATGATCTTTCATATATTCATTTACATTCTTCATCATTACGGGTATATTACGAACTCACAATGTGACCAGCTCCCAGTTGGCTTGATAGCTCAGTTGATAGAGCACTGCACCAATATAGCAGAGGTCATGGGTTTGAATCCCCTTCAGGCCTGAAATTTTTTCAGGCTTTAATTTCACAATTGCTTAAGTTGTGTATATAACTGCGATGATCAATCATGTCTTCATATCTTTCTCCGCAGTTCAAATATATGACCTTTCATATATTCATTTGCACTGATCAGCATTGTTGTCCGTGAAGACAGCACATTTAGGAGCCATGTTTGTCCCCTTGATGGTTGTCATTTACCTGACAGCCACATTCTCATCCAGTACCACACGAGCTCAAGAAACCCTGAGAACGGGTGAAACAACGGAGATTGGAAAAGTCATCAACCTGGCAAAAACCAACTTGCTGGAGGACTTTAAGGAAAGCGAAGCAAGCGTTTTTGAGCCTTTCCCTTTGCCTTGCTACAGAAAGGAAAACCTAAACTTCTCCAGAAGCTATTTTGAATATTATGAGAGTACTAAGGCCTTTTTCTCAAAACTAGCCACCCAAGCTGGATTAGATGCCTCATTGCAGTCATCGTATTCACTGAGCGTCTCTCTCAGTAGTGTTACACAGAGCACAAGTTCAAGCGCATCGAAGGTGAGTGGAATTTCCTTAATTGTCGAGTCACTGACAGAAAAGATCCATCTAGACAAAGACTGTTTATATGACGAAAAATACAAGTTTAAGGAAAGCTTTCTGGATAAATTAAAAACATTGCCGTTGAAGATCGATGAACCCTGGGAACGGAATTCGTGGAGGCCATATTATGACTTCCTGGAGCTATACGGTTCCCATGTGATAACTTCCGTTACGCGCGGAGCAAGAATAAACCAAATGTCTTTTGCACGGAGCTCTAGATCTTACAGTCAACGAGAATTCCAGGTGAAAAGCTGCGTCTCGTTAGGAGGTCCCACATCTGCTGGAACGGTCGATGTCTCTGCGTGTGCAAATGTGAGTAGCAGTGAAGCATCTAGAACAAGCGATATGAGCACGACTGATAAACTGTTCATTAGAGGAGGAAGCAGGGAAACCCGTAGCAAGCTGTTACAGGGGAGGTCGAAGGAACTGATTGAGAAACTTATGAACGAAGCCGGAGACATACATTCCTCGGTACAGCATACCTTCAAAGAGCTCTGGACAGTTCTACAAAGTCGCTTCCCATCAGGATCACCCAACTACGCTAGAGGACTAAACCTGAAAAACTTCTACCTCGGTTTCCTGAATTACGGTTGTCCCTTCATTGAAAATGGAGGACTCAAAATACAGAAATTCGACTACACCAAGAGGTCCAGCGAAATGTACCCAGAATTCGAGTGTACTCTTGCTGCAGAGGGTTGCCACAGCAACGACGACTGCCATTATGTTCCTATTTATTGCTCCTGTCGAGGCCCAACATGTGTCCACTACGAGTACAAGGAACAAGAAACAGGTGTTCCTAAGCAGATCGCCTTCGCTAACACCGAGCGAGACTGGGGATGGCATGGTTGTGACTGGAAAGTCCATGGGTCGTATTGTGATTGCTATAATGACAGTCGCAATTCACGGAGAGTTGTTTGGTCCTTACCCAGCAAAGATTACGTCGTACGTAAGCCGCCTAAACATGGCCGCCACCGCAAGGCAAAAGACCGAGGTCAGGGCCAAGCGAAAGGAAAAAGAAAAGGACTGTAATCTTCCGCATTACGCTCCATGTGATCACTAGAATATTGTAACGTAGGTATCAGTTGAAACAATTGCCGAGAGAAGAGGGTCCGTAGACTGAGTTAAAGCTGAATATCGCCGGACTACACAACTAATTTCCATTACACAATGTCGGCTATGTTGGATGGCAAAGCTTACTTACAT